AGTGGGGGAATAATCTACATATTCTGTACTGAGATGAATGCTTAAAAATGCAAAAAAAAAAAATTCTGTGCAAAATTTTTGCTATTTTCTGCACAGAACAACATGCAAATTTTTCGTTGAGTAAGTCCTGAAATATGAAGATTCTCATTAATCTGCTTGCTAGTTTTTCTAAGCACTTGAAAAACGTGTTTTGATCATTTCCCAGATATATTTAATAATAATAATAATAATAGGTTCTTGTAGGTTTTTTTCGGCTATAGGGCCATGTTCTAGAGGCATTTCTCCTGACGTTTCGCCTGCATCTATGGCAAGCATCCTCTGAGGATGCTTGCCATAGATGCAGGCGAAACGTCAGGAGAGAATGCCTCTAGAACATGGCCTATAGCCCGAAAAAACCCACAAGAACCTAGTGATTCCAGCCATGAAAGCCTTCGACAATACAATAAAATAATAATTTGTTGTTTATTAGTTCAGTTGCTTCTGACTCCCACTCCATCTCCCCCAGGGGGACTCGGGGCATCTTACATGAGGCCATGCCCATCAGTACAGTAAACACAATATAACACAAAAGCATAACAGAACTAAAAAATAAAATACATAAAATGCAAAACCAATATAATAAATGACACAGCCATATAAAATCAACATTAAACAAAAGATTTCACTGGGCAGGGCCAAATTCAGAGATTGGAGGTACATTGGAATAACCAGGTTTTCATATTCCTCCTGAATATTGCCAGCGTGGGAGCTTGCCTAATATCTCTGGGGAGTGGATTCCAGAGCTGGGGGGCCACCACAGAGAAGGCTCTCTCTCTCGTCCCCACAAGTCGCACTTGCGATGAGGTCTCTTCCAACTCTATGATTCTATGAAAGGTGGGTCTGAGTTTCCATGAATTTCAGTGGCATTGTAGAATATTTCACTTAGACTACCATCCTTTTCAGACTTACCTAAGAAATCCCACAGGACTTTCCGGGGATTATGTTTGAGTAGATATTTTTTTGATTGCATTGTTAATGTATATAGAATATTGGTCTGCAGAAATATATCTCTCTGAGTAACTAGCCAGTAAAACTCTCCTAGGGTTGGACTTCTGCCAGTTAGTTTATTTCAAACAGACAGACAGACACACCAGCAGATTGTCAAGTAAAAAGGATGAAAGGTTTTTTTAAAGAAAAACAACAGTAAAACTAAGCCTTAAAAGATAAGGTTTATGCAAATCTTTAAAAAAAACCAGACAAATCTATTGACGGAACTGAAGGAGAGGGGAAAAAATAGTTCCAAATCAAGAATGCGGCTTTGTAATATTGATCCTATATTAGGGAAATTTTATGTGGCGGGGGAATCAATAATCTGTTAACGGCTGGGGGATGTGAGTGCCAATGAGAAAAAGAGAGCGAGACTGAGAGAGAGATCTGGATGCATATTTCAGATAATATGCCTTTGAAAGTAAGGCTCTTCACTTCCAACATGTGTATTGGGTTTATTACTTTTGTTTACCCCACAAAACAGCTAGTGGGGAAATATAATCTGTTGATGATCAAGGGTCTGGAGAACAAGCCCTATGAGGAGCGGCTTAGGGAACTGGGCATGTTTAGCCTGAAGAAGAGAAGGCTGAGAGGAGATATGATAGCCATGTATAAATATGTGAGAGGAAGCCACAGGGAGGAGGGAGCAAGCTTATTTTCTGCTTCCTTGGAGACTAGGACGCGGAACAATGGCTTCAAACTACAAGAGAGGAGATTCCATCTGAACATTAGGAAGAACTTCCTGACTGTGAGAGCCGTTCAGCAGTGGAACTCTCTGCCCCGGAGTGTGGTGGAGGCTCCTTCTTTGGAAGCTTTTAAGCAGAGGCTGGATGGCCATTTGTCAGGGGTGATTTGAATGCAATATTCCTGCTTCTTGGCAGGGGGTTGGACTGGATGACCCATGAGGTCTCTTCCAACTCTTTGATTCTATGATTCTATGATTCTATGATGCAGTGCAAACTTCCCAAGTATCTGTAGCCCTCTCCTCCCTTTGCCAGAACAGGAATGATATTCCCTGATGCCAGGGTGAGTGTGAAATACATTGAAGTCTGTTTGGAGGTTTGCATACAATGCTGGCAGGCTGGATTAGTGGGATATTGGAAGCCTGATACTGGGAGAACTGGCAGTAGCAGTCCAAACTGCTATGTGGCTATTGGAGGCTAGGGTGCTATTGGAAGCATTGAGTACCTTTTATTAGGCCCCATCTACACTGCTATATAATCATCATCATCATCATCATCATCATCATCATCATCATCATCATAAAAAAACCTTATACCCCGCCACCATCCAATGGGAACTCGGAGCAGCTTGGGGACTCGGAGCGGCTAATGCAGATTAAAAATGTATTTCAGTGGAACCTTGTCTTAAGAGCATCCCAATTTAAGAGTGTTTTGAGTTAAGTGCCATTTCTCGGCCTGGGTTTCACTAAGACGTACGAGCAGCATTTTTAGTTAAGAGCAAGCACCAGAAGGAGTGCTAGCGCGAGAGTACAGGGCTTCAAGGGAGCAGCCTCTGTGCCTCGTGCTCTTGCCTGCTTTGGGAGATTGCTGTCCGCTTTGCTCTTATCCGCTTTGAGGAATTTTGGCTTAGTTGATTTTGTGTAGTTTTTATTCCTGTTTGACTTCATGAAGAAAGAGAGGGAGGGAGAGCAAGATAGGGAGAGAGGTTGGAATGAGTCCAGTATGAAGAAAATAATGCTTCTGCCTCTTCGCTTTGTGCTTCCTTGCCACAACTTTGTGTTTCTACCATTTTAAAGTTGATAATTCTTTTTATTGCTCCTTGGAAATGTGCATTTATACATTGTTTGTTATTTATGAAGTACATTTTCTCATTTAAAAGCATATAACAAAAATGGGGGGGTTCAGAGGGGCATTTCAATTGGAAAATTCACTTTAAGATAAGAATGATTTAAGTTACGAGCTCAGTCACGTTTGCAGGATGGCATTTCACCTCTCTCTTCTTTTCTGGCTCCACTTAATAGAAATGCAGGTGGGCAGTCTGAACAAAGGGAAAACAAAAAACTGTTTGATTAAGTACATATGCATTTTTAAAAGCCCACAAGCTTCTGTGGTTGACTGATCACACATAAACCAAAATGGCAAAAATGTGCACACAGTAGAAATAAACTGTTGCCTTGATGTGGGTAAATATTGGGAGTCTCGTGTGACTTTCCAAATGGATTTCAGTTTGGACTAAAGCAGGTGTGTGTGGCAGTAGAAGAATCAAACTGGGTAGGGAAATGATGCAGTGGAGATTTGCATAGATTCAGCTTGTTGGCCCCACCATGGGAAAAGTAGTTGGGATAGCTTTTTGGAGTGTCCATTATTGCCAGTCAAATGCTTCATACGGAGGATATCTGAGAGACTTTGGAGCCCTAGACATCACTGAGAGTGAAGCATAGGGTGTATAAAGTGTCCTTCTCTGGAGGTATTTAAACAGAGGCTGGATGGTTATTTGTCCAGAGTGATTTGATAATATTTTCTTGCATGGCAGAGTGTGGTTGAACTGAGTGGCCCTTGGGGTCTCTTCCAATTCTATGATTTGGAGATATCCATGGCTTCTAGGGTCCAAAGAGCCTCTAGAGTGAATTATCAATCCATCTTTAGTGAGCGAGATTTACCATTCTCTTGCTGGGATAAATGTTGCAGCAGAGAAGAGGCCAGCCTAGTCTTCTAGAAGGGCCGCCTGGTAAAGCACTCTGATATCCTCTCCAAAAAGTAAGGCTTTGTATGCAAATTGGCAAATGTATTGTCGAAGGCTTTCATGGCTGGAATCACGAGGTTCTTGTGGGTTTGTTCGGGCTATAAGGCCATGTTCTAGAGGCATTTCTCCTGACGTTTCGCCTGCATCTATGGCAAGCATCCTTACCTCTGAGAATGCTTGCCATAGATGCAGGCGAAACGTCAGGAGAAATGCCTCTAGAACATGGCCCTATAGCCCGAACAAACCCACAAGAACCTACAAATTGGCAAAGTTTGGCGCAATGTGAGAGCTCCATCTTGCAGACTGGTTTCTTTTGAATATTAACAAGTGCCGGAATAAATTAAAGGTTTTCCTTACAGTAACAAGTTGTTCCTGGAGCTCACTCACAATTAATGAATCATTAATTTTTAAAGCTGACATTCCAAACTTTGCTGAATCTGTTTACGGTACTTACTGAAGCCATAAGATGGATAATGGATCAAACTGAAGTACAGAACACACAAATTTGTTGGGTGATGTTTTCCTGAATTAGTCCCCACCCCTTCAAATAAACTTGACAAAAAAGACCAAAGTTAATATTAGCTGCAGTTCTTGAAAGTTCTATAGTGATTTGGTCATAGAGCACTTGTGTTCTCTCTTACATTAAAGCAAAGCTTGAGTAGACATTGTCTCAACTGCCATTGTGTTCTAGAATATTTGTGACTATTCCAAGTGCTTTAATAGGATTAGAAGAGATTTCAAGGACCATAAACATCATCATAATCATCATCTTCTCCAACCTTCTGCCATGCGGGAGTCTACAACTAAAGCACTCCAGAGAGATGGCTGTCCAAATTCAGTTTAAAGACTTACACAGGTCTTTTGTTTTGAAATAAAAGCATTGGCTAAATAAACTGGGAACTGATAGGGCTGTGTGTTGTTGGTAGGAAAGGTTTTGGCAGGAAGAAAAGTTGAAAGACCAGCATTGATTAATGGTTCTACATATCTAGAGATGCATGGAAATTGTTTTACATGAATTGTACGCGAGAAGCGTGTGAGCAGTGAATGGGGAATACCCACAAAGAAGATATTTCACTCTAAATATACTCCCATTTTGCACTCATCTCCATTGTTTATCATATTCTGTATAAGTGATGGTGAAAATTAATTTAGCAAAAGCCTAATCAGTGACTGGACTAAAATGTCGCCAAGTAAGCATGGCAAAATTTTGCTATATAACTTTGGAGCCAAACCTGACTCTTCCTTTCTTGTGTGATTGCCTTTTTCAGGATGAAGTTATCGCTGCTTCAGAGAAGGTAACAGTGAAGCTAGAAGACTTGGCAAAATGGGCTCAAGCGGACTTCTCCAAATGGAAGTGTGGTCTCCGGGGTGAAGCCGTTCGACCCACAGAACTAGGGAAGGATGGGCAGAAAGAAGCACTGAGTAAATTCAGGCAATCCACACACAACAGCGGCCTCAACTTTAAAGACATTTTGAAGGAAAAGGCCGACCTTGGTAAGTACAGCTTCTTCTCCTGCAGGCATCCTAGGAGTTGGGTTCTGTGAGATTTGTATGGGCAGTCAGGGAATGACTAGTTCCAAAATTTAACTGTGTGTCCAGTAATCTTCCCTGAATCTACAATTTGGTGATGGATCTGTGCATTGTATGTTTTTACCCTGTTTCCCCTTCTGCTTCCTCGCCCATATTGTGTTTCAGTAGTTATATATATATATATATATATATATATATATATATATATATATATTAATGTACCAAAAATACCAAGTTTTGTATGAAAATGTGACTTCTATTTCCTGTGCTGGTCAATTTATTTATATTTATTTATCGTGTCAGGAGCAACTAGACAAATGTGCTGGTCAATGATCGAAATAAATGATTTGATTGATTTGTATGGGCAGTCTTTCCATCTCATTCTCAACTGGAAGGTGGGAAAATGTTTGACAAGGAGCCGAATGAGGTCTGCAATTGATCTTTCTACTATCACTTCTGAAAGAGACTTCACATTTCTACTTTTATGAATCAGACTGCCTGAGAAACTGAAAGGACTTCTGAAATCCATTTGCATTTTGGTATAGGGGACAATCAATGCCAAGAATGAAGGAAGGGGATGCCAGAAATCTGTGCTAGGTGTACCAGCCTAAAACAGTTCTTTACCTCTCTTCCTGTTTAATCTGAAAACTTGTAGAGTACTTTACCAAAGAACTGTAGATCCTGTAAAAACATTACCTGACCTATTCTGTTTCTTTTGCCACGAGGCCAAGAAGTCTAGAAGAGCTGTAACCTTGATGTATACTGTTGCTGTTGCCTTGAGATGACTTTGTAGAGATGTATGTGATGAGTGACACAAACTTTAAAGGGGTCAGTTCAAAAAGTTTTAGCACCTAGGACAGAAAGGTCACCTACTAGTCTATTTCCACTATTTAGCTTGGGACACAATCCCCAAATTTTAGTTCTCCATAACCCATCTCGTGCGGCTCTACAAAGTCTTCTCAATGCAACAGCAACTGTTTTGCATTAAAACAATAGTTGGTTTTGGAATTGAAGCCCCATGGATACTTGTCAACACCATGAACTAGTTGTGCACCTTTTCTGGGTCCCAGTCATTGAATTTACCCTTTCCCCTAGTTACAGAAAGTAAGACTGTGTATACGTAGAGAAGAAACATTTCAGGACTGAATTGCAAAATATCTGTCCACCTGATTTCTTCAAAGCAGCAACAACAATGCTTATATAGCTCCTAGTGTCAGCCATAAATAGAAGATAAAAGATTAGAAGTGCATATGAATTCTTTGTCAGCTTTTTACCAGTGAGGCAATTGCCTTTGGCATATATTAAATACAAGGTTGTTACTGGGTATAAATAGTGTAGCATTGTTGTCTGGAAATTGCACTTCCATTTATCTAAAGTAGACAGTTGCTTAGTAATATCTAGATGTGGTGAAATCTTTCTCTTTGTGTGTGGGGGTACCATTTCTAATATGTTACAAAATATTTTGCTGCCACAATGTTGTCCTTCCCGCTCCAAATGGATTGGAGGTAACAAGTAAAAAAAGCAATATAGCTGTCTGTGATAAGGTCCACTTGAGTAACATGGAAAAAACAAAGTTAAATGTAAAAATAATAATATAATAAGTGAGGATGAAGGTTCTTCATTGGTGTGATGATTAAGAATTTAATTGTATTTAAAAATTACTTTCAAGGTAATTTGTCTTTCTCAAAAGGCATCAAAAAGTAGAAAACATAACAGGTTACCTAGAAAAAACTTCATAAAGCATAATGACAACAAATAACTTTTTCAAATGTAATGGGTACAAGCTGATTTTTAGAAGTAACTTTCTAGTCTTTGCCCCCAAGCCAAAGGCACATAGTACCCAAGTCTGGCAAAGCTATTCTGCCACCTAAGGTAGGAAAGAAATGTCATTTTGTGATCCCCAAAACCAGGCCCGTAGCCAGGATTTTGTTTCGGGGGGGGGGGGTGAATTTTTTTCAGGGGGGGTTGGGGGGGGCTGAGTTTCGGGGGGGCTGAGTCTGAGTGAAAGAGGGTCTAGCCTAGCAAACCTTTTGTATCATTACCCCAATACCCCCATGCATATGGGATATATTGAGTATGGTGATCAGATCATGATATGAATAAACATAGTTTAAATAATGCACCAGTAAGGCCTTTTCGCGAACCACCATGAGAATTTTGGGGGTGGGTGGGGCTGAAGCCCCCCCCCCCCCCCAGCTACATGCCTGCCCAAAACGTGTCATTGAGACAGATGTTCCATTTGGTTTAATGGCCTCTGCAGTGACATAACTAACTCTGAATTTCAATTCAGTTATACATTGTTAAATGTTTTGAAATAGAGCGGTAACTTATTTATATTATATTATCTTAAAATAATTGATGTAATTTGGACTTTCCATTTTAACGTAATTCCTTTAAAACAAATAGTACTTCTTTTTCTCCTTCTCCTTTACTTCATAAACTTGTTAATTAAATTATTAAATGGGAGAATATGCTAAAGAGTCGACAGGTTGTACATTTATAAATGCTAATGGTTATCAGATTTTTTAAAAAAAATTGTTTCTGATTAGAATATGGTAGATTGGTTAATTCAAAGATTAAAAGGTTCCAAATGAAAAAGTCAGTCCAGTGTGGAAGGGCACTGGTCCTTCCACCCAGGAGTTCCTCCAGATTTGACACCAGATACCACAAACCAATTCCCCTTCTGTGATGGAAAACTGAATTCTGAAGCCCTTATCGCTGAGACTTTTGATGGGAGCCATGTGTCAAAAGGGAAAAACAAGAAAAGGGTCAGTAGTGGAATGGATGACAAATAGGGTTTCTCAAAATTGTTGCTGCTTCTAATTTCAATTTAAATGGTAATTAAACATAACATAACACAAATATAATACTTATATTTTTAGCTTCCACGGCAGGGGTCCTCAAACTTTTTAAACAGAGGGCCAGTTCACGGTCCGGTCCCTCAGACTGTTGCAGGGGATGGATTATAGTTTGAAAAAAACATGAACGAATCCTTATGCACACTGCACATATCTTATTTTTGGCACAGAAAAACAAGAAAGAGCAATACAATATATAAAATGAAGAACAGTTTAACCAACATCAATTTAGCAGTATTTCAATGGGAACTGTGGGCCTGCTGTTGCTGATGAGATAGTCAAGTTAATGAGGATTCTTGTTGTTGTGTGCCTTCAAGTTATTTCAGACATAGGCCAATGCTAAGTATCAATAAAGTTTAGGGCGAGGGCCAGGTAAATGATCCCAGAGGGCTGCATCCGACCTGTGGGTCTTAGTTTGGGGACCCCTGTTCTACTATAAATGTAATTGAAATATATCTTTTAAACTTAGCAATGATTAATGAAACCAGTTAAACCTCTCCTGCTGACTTTCCTACCTCTGAGTTTCTGTGCCACCGTGAATCAAGAGAAGATAAAGGGCCTGATTATTGCCTTGCTTAGGACATGCATGCTTCGAGACAGGAAGTTTTATAGCTGTATTAAAAATTCATTTAGGTTGTTGGACTAAATTTAGGTATGATGATCATGCATTAATAGCTGTACTGGACATTGGAGTAAAATAAAGAATGCACAAAGAGATACAAGAACAACTAGTAGAGACTCCGAATGTAAAATTAAGCTGGAGTAGGGAGCTCAGTGTGCCCTTCTATACGGTTATACATTGTTACCCACCATACTAAACCACTTATCCCAGGCCCGTAGCAAGGATTTTGATTCGGGGGCGGGGGGGCTGACTCTGAGTGAAAGAGGGTCTATCCTAGCAAACCTTTTGTATCGTTACCCCAATCCCCCCATGCATATGAGATATATTGAGCATGGTGATCAGATCATGATATGAATAAACATAACAGTTTAAATAATGTACCAGTAAGGCCTTCTCGCGGACCACCATGAGAATTTCAGGGGGAGGGGCTGAAGCCCCCAAAGCCCCCCCCCCGGCTACATGCCTGATTTATCCTTTAACTAGTTCATGTAGTGGTCCTTCCTCCCCCCCTCCAAAATTAGTCTGCTGTTATTGTTGTTGCTAGCTATTATTGTTATGTTGTTTTACGTTGTTTTATGCTGTCTTAATTGTTTTTGCTTTGTTTTTAATTGTATTTTGCCTTGGGCTTGGGCCCCATGTAAGCCGCCCCAAGTCCCTTCGGGGAGATGGAGGCGGGGTAGAAAAATAAAGTTCTTCTTCTTCTTTCTTCTTTTCTACTTTAAGTCAAAGGGTGTAACTAAGACATCTAGGCCACTTTAGAATCATAGAATCATAGAATCAAAGAGTTGGAAGAGATATCATGGGCCATCCAGTCCAACCCCCTGCCAAGAAGCAGAAATATTGCATTCAAATCACCCCTGACAGATGGCCATCCAGCCTCTGTTTAAAAGCTTCCAAAGAAGGAGCCTCCACCACACTCCGGGGCAGAGAGTTCCACTGCTGAACAGCTCTCACAGTCAGGAAGTTCTTCCTAATGTTCAGATGGAATCTCCTCTCTTGTAGTTTGAAGCCATTGTTCCGCGTCCTAGTCTCCAAGGAATCAGAAAACAAGCTTGCTCCCTCCTCCCTGTGGCTTCCTCTCACATATTTATACATGGCTATCATATCTCCTCTCAGCCTTCTCTTCTTCAGGCTAAACATGCCCAGCTCCCTTAAGCCGCTCCTCATAGGGCTTGTTCTCCAGACCCTTGATCATTTTAGTCACCCTCCTCTGGACACATTCCAGCTTGTGAATATATCTCTCTTGAATTGTGGTGCCCAGAATTGGACACAATATTCCAGATGTGGTCTAACCAAAGCAGAATAGAGGGGTAGCATTACTTCCTTAGATCTAGACACTATGCTCCTATTGATGCAGGCCAAAATCCCATTGGCTTTTTTTGCCGCCACATCACATTGGACTTGGACTGAAACGAATTGTGTGTGTACACATGATTTCAAGTACCCTGTTGACTTATGGCAGCGTCATGAATCCCATATTAAGC